CGTTCAGGTCTGACTGGTAGAGAACTCTGGTAGGTTTTCTCTTAAAGTCCTGAGCTGTCCAGGGACACGTTTAATTAAACGCTGCAGCATTCTTTAAATCCTCCGTCTACTGATAGAATAACGTCACATCATCTAAATACTGAGTTTGAGTAAAGTTGGCTCGACAACTTCATTCCTCTTTACTTTAACTAATTAATGAAGCAGAATCAGCTTTAATGGCTTTAAAGTACGCAGACAACATACAAGGAATTTGGTTTTAGCTGCTGGTGTCGCCCTGGGAATGAGCAACAGGAAGAAAAAAAATAAAGCAAAAATAACTATAGAAAGAAAAAAATAAAAATAAAATAAAATAAATAATAATAAAAAATAAAACAAGATAATAAGACAAATATATACAATAATTTACACATTAAATACTTGTTTTCATAATTCCTGTAATAAAACTTTCCTCTAAATAACAGGAACTCCAGGATGCTCAGACGAACCTCATGTTGACTCACAAACGATCATTTATTCATCATTTCCCACTAAAACGTTGTGTTGTTGCTCCCTGATGTGAAGCATCATGTTTTTAACTGCATCCGTGTGTTTGAACATGTGATGAACATGAAGTTACATCAACTTCAATTACGTTTAAATTAAGTTGATGTAACATTGTTCTGCCAACCACTTTAGACTTTAGAGGGTTTCTGAGTTAAAGTGGAGGAACGTCTCCCCTGAATGAACCCGGCTCGGGTCTTCTCACCCTTCTCGTCGTTCTGGATCTGGTCGATCATCGGGTTCTCTCGGGCGTCTTCCAGCTTCACCTGAACATCAACAGACCAGTTGGAGTCACGTTTCATCCTCTCACACATTCACACGTTCATCACTCAGAGACGTTCTGTTCGTTACCACTCTGATGAGAGCCGACGGGTTTCTGTCCACCTTCGGATCTCGAAGCTCGAACGAACGTCTGGAAGACAAACAGGGTTCGTGTTCAGACGGCGGCCTGGATGGACGGAGACGGTTTGTTCGTCTCCTTCCTGTCATCTCGCGTCAGGTTTGTGTCTTTGGGTCAGTTGTTGATGTTCTCACTTCAATTGTCGTTTATGTCGTTTTATTTCTCATTTTTCTTGTTTTGTGTCGTTTGTTTCTGTCGTTCAGTGACGTTTGGATCGTTTATATCTCAGGTTTGTCTCTTCCTGACATGTGACGTGAAACTATGAGACATCCCATAATACTGATGCTCAAAGGTCAAAAACCAG